CGATGCGGACAGTCCGTCGTCACGCACCAACCCACGAAGTCGTCACCCCGCTTAGTCCTCCCTCACCCGTCGGATTCGCCCGTGCCCACAGTCCGTCGTGGCCCACGCCAATCCCGCGCGTTCGGCACCAGCCCGTGGGGTCGCCCAGCTCCTACCCTACTCACCTCTTACTTCGCTCGTGTGCCGACCCTTCCTGATCGCGCAACCCCGAGCTTCCAACAACGGATTAAGAGAGTTGACTAATCGCGCAGCCAGAATTTATAGCGTGCATGCATGCGCGAAGAACACGGAGTTACCAAAACTTAGAGTGAAGATTAGAGAGGGAACGCCTGCGCCCTGCATGATCGGCCGCGGCGTGGGGGACATAACCCTTCTCCACGCATCGATCCGAGCACGCAAGCCGCGACTTACAAAATTTCAGCAAAAGAAAGAGAGGGAGGGCGGGAGAGACGAAGTGCAAGAAGAGAGATACAGTTACAATGGCGTCCGCCCAAAATTACAGCTACACACGCGATTAAGGGCGCCTGCTAATCAGAGTTCCGTTGCATCCGCATGAAAAAGCGTGTAAACAAAAGGCGCCGCGCAACAGAAAAAATCCTAATTACTAAATTTCTAAATTCCTATCTAATGCGAGAAAGCAAAAAGAAGCATGAATTCGGAAGGAAAGTCCGAAATTCCGAGAGCCATTGGGGCTCAACAAAATTCGAAAAAGATTCAAGAGGAATTTCAAAAAAGAACGAAGCAATTTCCCGCGCGATGTCCGCGCCCAAAAGATCGAAAACCGAACCAAAAGAAACGACGTCGATATTAGTCGCGCGCGCGTGTGGCGTTGCGCCAAACAACCATCCGACCAATCAATCCACCGGACGTCCCAGGATACACCCAGCCCCGAAGAAGCGACGAAAAAGACGAAGAAGCAAGGGTACTGATGCAATTTTCCACCGATCCCGATTTCCCGCAATTGGCCCAATCTTCCCAACTTAGGACCCCTCGTTGCAACCGCACAAAAATTCGCGCGTTACAGAAAGTGGTTCGTCACATATGTGATGCCCAGGGGGTTCCAATATTAGCAAGCTCCTGCTTGCTTGTTAACACGTGTCGATTTCTCTAATCGATTGATACACGGAACACTTCTCTTTATGCCACTTACCGTTCGATTGCGTGCGGACGTCATCCAACGTGGCAACTTTGCTCTTCTACTACTTCCTCAGATTGGGCTCTCGACAGTCCAAGGACGGGATTTTTCTCGTGTCGTTACCGCGACACGTATCCATTACCGGTTGCATCAGTAATTAATTGGAAGGGGAAAAGGGAGCCGGTGCATGGCGGCATGGCGGGGTGGAAGGCTTACGGGTAGCGGGGGCAAGAACCTTTCCATCCCGGCTGCAAATTCTGGTAGCGCTTGGTAGCGGACGATGCGGTGGAAGCGGGGGAAACGGTTGCCAGTGCGAGGGAGGGACGCGAGGTAATCATGATAGAGGGTGGTGAGAGTTCGGAAAAGTGCCGCGCGGAAACGATCGCGATCTTCGCAGGCGGGGATGGTCCCCGTTACTATGCAATAAACCTCGATCATATTGTGGCCTCGCCACGTGGCACTGAGGAGCAAAACATGGAGGCAGAAGGTTGGGACGACACACTGAATGGAGGGGTGGGGGTGTACTACTATAGCGAGGCGAGCAGCATAGAAGTGGCAGAAGGTATCGCGGAGAAACGGGTTGGAGGGGAACGTGATGGGGGTGGTGAGCTGGCGGAGGGTGAGGTAGTCAAGAGGACGTCGAGAGGGTAATCGGGGACGAAGGTCGATCGCCCGTATCGGTACGTCGACGAACTGGGGGACGGGTTGGGGAGGAGGGGGATCACCTCCGTCGTCGTGTTGATGGGGTCGGAGTCGTGGCCGTAAGGTCGCCATGTCCTGGTCGGGGCGGCTCCGGATCTTGGTTTGGGTCGTCGTGGACGTGTAAGCTTGCCCCGCTCGCAAATTCTAGTTCCCTTTTCCCGGCCGTGGTTTCCTCTCTTTTGTGGGCCGCCTCCGGATCTTCAGCCTCCGTGCCCGTGCGCAGCGCTTCTTCCGACGCAGCTTCCCACTCCGATTCCGCAGGTCCTTCTTCGTTCTCCTCTTCTCCTTCGTCTTCTTCTTCTTCTTCTTCTTCTTCGCTCTGCTCCCCCTCGCTATGCTCGCTATAGCTTCCTTCTTCGAGGGTTTCGTCCTCTTCCCCGAGTACTTCGTCGCTTTCCCCACTTTCTTCCCGCTCGTCTTCTCCTTCATCACTCTCAGTGCTTTCTTCCTCCTCCTCTTCCTCTCGAATGGCAGCAAGCTGCTCTGCCATTGGGTGCCTAAAGAAGGCAGGATCACAAACCGTCAGAGGATCCAAATACTGCTGCTGCGACGGCGGGATGCGCTCTGCGGCTCCCTCCACACAAGCCAACCACTGGAGATATGGCGTCAACGTGCAAGAAAGTACATGAGGAATCGGATGCTCGTCGTCTTGCGAGATGATGTCGAGAGGGAGCTCGTCTGCCAGCTGCGCTACCGGGATCGCGAGCTCTTGCGCGATGAGTTCCTGATGTCCGGGCCGTACTGTGCCGAACAGAAACGCGAGGAGTTCTCCCTCCACGTTGGTTCACCAAGCCTGAATGAACAGCAACTCCAGGCGCTCTATGCAAGGCGGGCGCGCCTCGTCCTCGGTCCACGTCAGCCGTACCTCGACTAAGCACAATAAAAGCTCGACGAAGTCTTCGCGCCACAGTTGCCAGTATGGGGGATGAATGTCGGGGACAGCAAGGGTCGTTAGACAGTAGGAAAGGTGAGGATGGAAATCGAACTGCCAGAAGTTGGGGAAGGTAAAGGGGAGATAAAAAATAGAGATCGGAGAGAGACTCATTGGGGGCGAGGAAAGGGAACAACAACAGGGAGAACCGCCGACGGATCACGTTGGTACATCCGAAGGCCATCGTATTCGATCGCTCGTGTCCCCGAGGCAAGCCAGAAGCTGGGTCCACTCATCGACCAGATCGTTCGCCCACGCGCGTAGCGATGTCCTCACCGCTGTATGTCGTAAAGGGAGGAGTGTAGAGAGATCGCCACGGAAGTTGATGACGACCGATATGCGGTTGGCACCTGGCACCGCTCGCTGATGAACTGCTACTGCCTCGGCCAGTACCACTGCGTCGGGCCGGCCCTCGATTCTGAACACCGCCGGTGCATACACGCCTCCCGTGCAGAAAAAGTGTGCAAGCCGCCGCAGATCTGGACTGAGATAGGGATGATAAACTTGTCGGATCATCAATCGATCATGGGGTGCAAGCGATGCTTCGCTGAGGGCTCTTTCCTCCAGAAAACTCATGGCGATGGCGATGGAGACGAAGAGGCAGAGAGGGAGCAAGAGAAAGAGGGGGATGGCGGAGAGTCAGAGTCGTCGTCTTCGGCTTCCTCAGAAGGAGGGATCGAGGGAGACGGAGCAGAGGGGAGGAGGCGAAGATAGGACACATGGCGTGTGATCGGACGAGCCGATCGACTGCCGGAGACTTCCGGAGCGAGACGCACGGTGTTTACGCCGTTGGGGCCGAGCTCGATCACGCGATATCGCCCGAAGAATTGTGGCGCTAGCTTCCCTTGGCGAGCACATTTCCTCACCTGCACCACGTCCCCCAATTTATACTGGGGCCGCGGACCCGCATTCCCATTTCGGGCCTCGCAGCTCCGGATCTGTCGGCCTTGGGCTAGTTCGGTCATTTTCTGTCGTTTTTGGGCCAGCTTGGGCAGTGACCGTTCCATTAGCTCTAGGTGTCGTTTGGCCTTGTCTCGAGCCGTGGCCCTGGTGGGCCGTCGGTTCAATATAAACTCATCCGGGAGGCTTGGTATCGAAACGCAAGCGACACTATTGGTTCTTAATTGAAAGGGGCTTAGCCCCGTTGATTCGTGGGGCGTTCCGCGATGGACCGCCAGAATGTGATCGACGATATCGGGCCAGGGTCTCGGATCCCGTGCCGCGATGTTTCGTTGCAATGTTGTCTTTATCATCCGGTTAGCGTTTTCGACCAGCCCATTGGATTGTCACATGTGGGGTGCAGTGTTCCGTATGGCGACGCATGTATAACCAGATTCTTTAACACTTCTCCTCTGAATTCAGCCCCATTGTCGGTCAGGATTTCTTCGGTATCCTGATGCATCCCGAGGAAATGGTTAACGTATCGCGCGATTTCCGTGGCTTGCCGCGTGCGACAGGGATACACTTCAATCCATTTCGAAAAATGGTCGACAAATGCCAGTAGAACTGAATATTCGCAACTATTAGGGCCAAGGGGCACCACTATGTCGGAGTGTCCATGCTTACTCTCTGAAATGGCCGTTCAACAACCGTGGGCACTATCGATCTTGGCGGTTGAATCGGCGCCTTATCAGCGGCGCAGACTTGGCAGTTGGCGACGATGTATTTCACATTGTCGTGGATATTGGACCAGTACCACTTATTTTTGTCAATAGCGGACTCCGTGATTCGTACGGCGAAACGAGTCGCAGTTTCTTCGTGCACCGTCTTAACCCAGTCGTACGTCATGAACGGATGCGGCACCACCATCCAAATTCCGCTGCCGTCCGTTTTCCGTTTTTCTAATCTACCCTCTATCCATCGATAATCCCGAACGCTCTCATTGGCCCTCGATCTTCCTTGGTGAAATCCTGGAGGGGGTTACCTACTAGGGTGGCGATTAAGGCAATGTCCGTCCATACTTCAGCCCTTCTAAACTTTTGGGTTTTTTCCAATCCTTCTGACGTGGCATCCAGAAAGCGAGCCTCGGTTGGAATCTTATCGGTCCGGCACAAGGGGCACAGCCACGGTTTACTATCGTTTCTGTATTGGATGCACGAGCCATGGGTTCGTGCGACACACTGTCGGCAATCGACATACCCCTCCCCTTTAGGACACATGGAAACCGAATAGACGCGGGAGATGGCTTCACAAAAATAGCAAAATTTGTCAGGCAGGGAGAGGAGAGACAAAGAGGAAGGAGGAGAGAGGGGGGTAGTGGGGTTACCTCCGTCACCAATCGCCGCCGTTTTACTTCTTTTCACGTGGGAGAACTGCCACTTATCCGTACCCTGGCTCGTTAGTCAGGTTTGGCTCTTTCCACGGTGTAATTTCCTCGTCCTTTGGTACCTTGGCAGGTCGATGTAAACGTGTCAACCCGTCCGCGTTACCGTGTCGCTCTGTCTTTCGATGGACGATATCGAAGTCGTATTCTTGCAGTCGCACCGCCCAAAGGCCAATCATGCCCGTGTAGTTGGTGAGTTTCTTCAGTGCCAGCAGAGGCTCATGATCCGTTACGAGGCGAAACTTCTGTCCGTAGAGATACGGATGGAAGTGTTGGATTCCCCAAACTACCGCATAGCACTCGCCTTGAGGTGCGGAGTCGTTTCTACGTTCGTATGACACGGTTCGAGACGCGTACTCCATGACGTGTTCGAGCCCATCGTTCCCCTTCTGTGCTAAAATAGCGGAAATAGCTTCCGGTTGCCAGTCCGTGATGAGAATGAAATGCTTCGCGGGGTCCGGCCGTATTAAAATAGAGGCTGTTGCCAGAGTGTCTTCGAGGGTCGCAAAGGCCTGTTGGCACTCCGCGTCCCAATTGAGTGGCTGGTCCTTCCGTAACAGATTCGTTAGCGGTCGTGCAATCGCAGCAAAGCCCTTGATGAAGCGCCGATAGTATGACGCCAACCCTAAGAAGGCTCGAACCTGCGTCAGTGATGTGGGAACCGGGGCTTCCTTCACCGCCGCAACTTTTCTCGAATCTGGCCGCAGTCCTCCACGTGTCACGACGTAACCCAAGAACGAAATTTCCGAGAGGAAAAATTCGCTTTTCTCAAGCGCAATTTTGAACCCAGTGTCTCTTAATGCACCCAATGTCCATTCGATGTGTTGCGCGTGTCCGCGATAGGTTTCCGAATAGACCAGAATGTCATCCATGTAAACGATCACGCAGAAGTTAATCATTCCTTGCGTCGGCTGTGTCTTGTTGACGAAGTTCTGGAACGTTATGTTCATCGCTCGTTGAGATGTGGCAGGCGCATTGCAAATCCCCATCAGACATCGAACCCACTGCCACGTACCCTCAAACAGCACAAAGGCCGTTTTCGACCGATCTTCTTTCCTTACCAGAATATGATGGAAGCCATGCCGAAGATCAAACTTGCTAAAATATTTAGCGCATCCAATCGCATCCAACAGATCATCAATCTGGGGGAGGGGAATCACATCTTTAATCGTGAATTCATTCAGCTTGCGGTAATCAATGCAGATGTGAATCTCTCCGTTCTTCTTTGGTACTAACACTACGGGAAAGGACCATGGTCCGGTAGAAGGTTCAATCCAGCCGCTGGCTTCGAACTCCCGAATTCGTTCGACAGCCTTTTTGCGTTCAATCAAGGAATAGCGATAAGGTTTGCAATGAATCGGGGTGTGATTTCCTGTCTGAATTTCGTGTTGGATTACTAATGACAACCCAATGTCAGTGTCTGACACGCTAATCGCTCCTTGATATTCCGTGAGAATATCCGCAATTACTCGGTGGATTGCATCCGGTACATATTGCGGAACATGCAATTTATAAAGCTGATCCCAGATCCGAACGTCAATCTGTTTCGTATTCGCCTGTTTTGTCAAATCAGGTGGAGGAGCCGAGATGAATGAATGATCCGATCACCAGGAGAACACCGTGACCATCATCTGAGCATCTTCTTCTCGGATTGCCACGTGTTCTTCCGGGGTAATCCTGTCACAAACATCCTGCCATGGCACTTCTTTAGTTGCGATCTTTGTCCCCAGTCCGTCTGTTTCTGCTTCAAAACGCCCAGGGGGTTCCAGAGAGCTTGCTTCCGCCCCCAAGTGTAACAATCTCACTTCTTTGGTCGAGGTTAGTAAGGATTTGGGTAGATCCGTAATATCACAGTAATGCTTCTTGTCGTTGTACCGGGCGAGGAGGGGGGTGGTTCCTTCGTACAGGGTTTGAGGGGGTTCCAAAGAATCGACCATCCTCGAAATTTGCACGAGGGGCTCACCCAAGATCATTGCCTTGGTTTTTTGAATGTTTCGGCTGGTCAGCTGCATTGTTCTTGCTATCGTTTTGGGCGGCGGGTAGTAAACGCGCTGTCGCGCTAATTTCAGGATCTCCGGATCATCTTTGTCACTGCTGTCCGCATCATTCGTTGATGACCTTTCGTCTGCGGATTCATCCCAGGAGATCATGCGGAGAGTCCCTGCCATCATCGGCGAAACCCGCGGAACCGTGTTAACAGTAGTGCGAAGGGTCAATCGCATGGGCACAGCGTAGGGTTTTCCGCCTGTATTTCAGAGAATGATCGAACGTCTCTCGAAATCCAGGTTCGCTCGTAACGCCACAAGAGTGGGAATTCCGAAAAGAACGTCGTACGTATTAACATCTTGGACTACGACATCCCCAAGCGCGTGCACTTTGCCCAATCGGAAAGCGACATTGGTCATTCTTCCCACGGTTTTAATCTTTTCTTCGTCCACCGAAACGAGCTGATCTTTCTCATAAAGCATGATCAGATCGTTTTTCCTTCCTGCCCTTTCGACCACTCTTAGTAAAATAGCCAACACAGCTGCTCCCGAATCTATAATTGCGTTGTAAGGAATTTTCCAAATTTTTATGTCACATTCTGCGGATTTCCACGGAATTGGTTTAATCCACAAGAAATGATCGTCTTTCTGAATTAAACTTACCCGTATTGAATCCGGGGTGCCTGTTGGGTTTTCTTCTGGCGCGGGGCTTTTAGCTTTTGCATTCGGTGTTCGGGCAAGGGCGAATTGTTTCTGTTTGCCTTGCAATGTTGTAGCATTCGCTCATTGGCTTGATCGAAGATTGAGAGTAGGTGACCAATCGAAAGGGGAATCCGATGATCCAAGGCTCTGATGATGTTTAATACATCGATTTCCCCTGTGACGAAGGTGGGTCCCCCCGACTCCATTTCTCCTAGGGACGGTCGCCACTCCGCCACCTCTTTTGGTTCTGGCGCTGGTCTTATTATTCCGATCATTCCCAGTCCCGGATATCCGAGCGATATATACTAATCTAGCGGGATTAGATCGACGGCTTCTTCCGTGGTGGCCAGGGCACTTCCTCCACCCTCTACTTCTTCCATCAAAGCTCCGACTCGTCCAGGTCCGTCGGCGATGGGAGCCGCAGCCATAGGCGCGACTCCGATCCGCTGTTGTGGGGGTCGGTGAGGGCAGTCTCGGGCCAAATTCCCTGGCTGATGGCAGGCATAACAGATATTTAGATTATTGGCGGCTCCTCCGAGCGCAGCTGCGGGGTTTACCCCTTGTTAGATCGGAGGAGCACGTACCGCAATGGGCCGCATGTTCCTCATCATGGCTTCCAGCCGAGCATTATGCTCTCGCTGCTTCTTCTTACTTTCCTAAATCAAACTAATCAAGGTTTTGGTTAGTTCGAAAATGGCCACTGATTCGTTTGTTCGTGCGGGAGCCTCAACTAACGGCAGGGGCAACGCCCTTGCGCGTGGAGGCATTACAGAAGCGGATGTGCTTGGGACTTCGCTTAGGGTCACTCGCTTGGGGCCTATCTGTTCCATATTGATAACAGGTCCTGATACAAACCCCATGTTTTCAAACTTGTTCTGCAAAGCAGCTAACACAGCTCTCGCTCGTGCGAGCTTGGTCGAATCTCCTTCTCTAGGATAGTCTTCCCCTTCCAGGAAGTTCGCTGCGAACTTCCGTTCCATTTTTTCCGCGGCAGCCATGATTTGTTGTAGCGTGTGAGTGATGGGGGAAAATTGCTTTCGTAACTTTGTCCTTATTGTTCGGCTGCGAAACTCATCAATGAACAAGTCTCTTCCTACTTGTTCACCTCGCTCAGTTTTTACGAACATTCGGTAGAACCGGTTCCGATATTCTGCGACGGATTCGAGAGGTTTTTGCACTCGGTCCTTGATCATAWAYAGTGCTTGCTCGGGGTGAACGTAGTMAAATYGATTCATGAAATCCCSCTCAAAGGTCGGGAGATCAACCCACACATAGGTGCTAAACCAATGATGAGCGTCTCCCCCCAATCGGGCGGGAATATTGATCTGAGCTTCATGGTCAGTATACTGTTGGGCTCTAGGTGTGACCAGCCATGCTCCTGCGAGATGGTGTGCGGGATCAAAGAGATAAAGATCTGGTGGCGTCATGGGAGCTCGTGCACGTGGGGCGGGTTGATTTGGGGGATTAACATTCTGTTGTGGGACCGGGTTTGGCACATTGGAAGCCATATTGGCTGCTCGTCGGTTAGCCGATCTGCTTCGGGTGACGATAGGGTCGCGTCTATACGCGTTCCGAGGGCGAGGTCGCCCACGGTTAGCCAGATCGCCAATTTAACGTGTTATCAATCCTAAGACCCTATCCACATGTCGGGCTTTGATACCAACCTCACGCCCGGCGCGACTTCCTGTTCGGAGTGGAGTGTGGGCCTGGAAGTGCGAAAAGGGGTGTGCCAAGGATTTTTGGGGAAAGTGGGGGAGTCTTAAGGATATGAATGTAATTCGATGGACGAGGGATGCGTGCGCGAGGAGCTCACGGTCCGATAGGGCCTGGGCAGTGAGGGTGGCGGTTGACGAGAAAGTTCCTCCGCGGCGGAGGCGGTCCCGAAAAGTTAGGTCGTTGGGGTCCGCCACGCGGCGCGGGCCTCCGCGTATTTGGATGGGGTCTTCGGAGTTCCAGAGTTCTCTGTTCGCTGCTACGTCGGCAATTTGCGCAAAAAGTACTGGGCCAATAGGGGGCTATGGCCGGCCACGGTACGACGCTGAGTTGATGGTATGGAAGAAGAAGGCGGAAAGGAGGGAAACTGGTGGTGATCTCAACAAATCCCAGATGGGTGAAGTAGTAGGTACGGTCGGGGGAAGGAAAATCAGAGCACCGTGGGTCCCTAGTGGTGGCACAGTGGGATTCCTGCAGACATAATCGATTCTCCATGTGACAAGGGTATCGTGTCCTTATGAGCTCGTTTATTATAGGGGTGAAATAGTCCGGATCATAGGATGAGTCTGAGCCACAAGATCGCGTCATGGAGTCATCGTAGGTGGGATGGCGCGGGTCGGGATCTCGTCACCGTGAGTCCTGTCTGGGCGGGAGAATTGCCGCACAGGAATGTGTGTAAGGGCGCGACTTGGATCGCGTTTACACGTGTTCTCGCGTGGCGTTTACGGGGCCAGATTTCGAGTCACTGATCATGCAAGATGCAACCATATCACAACCTCATCGTGAGGTAAGCAAAAACGAGACTAAAATCACGATCAGAGCCTAATTCTTATCCATCTATATCTGATGCAAACAAAAGTTCGCTACAAAAAGCAGGACAAAGATTCGCAAGCAAAACATCCATACATTCAGCAATCATATACATAGTGTCACTGAGACAGTGAGCAAAATTCGAGTCCAGATTCCAGAAAGGCCGAAACGAAAATAAGAACGGGCAAGCCGCCCTGAGCCGTAATCAAAACGTATATACACAGGGGCAGAGGGGGAAGAGATAAAGAAACAACAAAACCGCATCCATCAACCTCAACTCTCTCTCTCTCTCTCTCTCTCTCTCTCTCTCTCTCTCTCTCTCTCTTCTTCTTCGATGCGGACAGACCGTCGTCACGCACCAACCCACGAAGTCGTCACCCCGCTTAGTCCTCCCGCACCCGTCGGATTCGCCCGTGCCCACAGTCCATCGTGGCCCACGTCAATCCCGTGCGTTCGGCACCAGCCCGTGGGGTCGCCCAACTCCTACCCTACTCACCTCTTACTTCGCTCGTGTGCCGACCCTTCCTGATCGCGCAACCCCGAGCTTCCAACAACGGATTACGAGAGCTGACTAATCGCGCAGCCGAAATTTATAGCGTGCATGCATGCGCGAAGAACACGGAGTTACCAAAACTTAGAGTGAAGATTAGAGAGGGAATGCTTGCGCCCTGCATGATCGGTCGCGGCGTGGGGGACGTAACCCTTCTCCACGCATCGATCCGAGCACGCAAGCCGCGGCTTACAAAATTTCAGCAAAAGAAAGAGAGGGAGGGCGGGAGAGACGAAGTGCAAGAAGAAAGATACTGTTACAATGGCGTCCGCCCAAAATTACATTTACACACGCGATTAAGGGCACCTGCTAATCAGAGTTCCGTTGCATCCGCATGAAGAAGCGCGTAAACAAAAGGCGCCGCGTGGTAGGGAAAATCCTAATTCCTAAATTCCTAAATTCCTATCTAATGCGAGAAAGCAAAAAGAAGCATGAATTCGGAAGGAAAGTCCAAAATTCCGAGAGTCATTGGGGCTCAACAAAATTCGAAAAAGATTCAAGAGGAATTTCAAAAAATAACGAAGCAATTTTCCGCGCGATGTCTGCGCCCAAAAGATCGAAAATCGAACCAAAAGAAACGACGTCGATATTAGTCGCGCACGCGCGTGGCGTCGCGCCAAACAACCATCCGACCAATCAATCCACCGGACGTCCCAGGATACACCCAGCCCCGAAGAAACGACGAAAAAGACGAAGAAGCAAGGATACTGATGCAATTTTCCACCGATCCCGATTTCCCGCAGTTGGCCCAATCTTCCCAGCTTAGGACCCCTCGTTGCAACCGCACAAAAATTCGCGCGTTACAGAAAGTGGTTCGTCACAGTACAGCCTTGCTCTTGCACCACTGCTGTTGTGCCAACCTACTCGGTGGGCAAAGGAGAGATCGGGGTTGGTTGGTGTTCCCCCGTACTATACATAGACTAGCGAGAGGATGAGATACATAGATAGATGAAAGAGGAATATAGCTTACTTTTCTTTTAAAATAAAAAAATAAAAACAAAAAAAGTGGCGGGTGCACCTGGCCATGTCCTCTCATTTTCATTTTGCTGATTTCTCGAGTGGTGAGGCGCCACGTGGCGAGACCCGAAATCCGTTGTTCTAGTGGTTGTCCGTGCGGCTGCCCGTGCTCAGAAACAATCGCAATCAGGCAGAGTTTGGGGAACGCTCACAAACAACCCAGGAAAAAAGAGGGGCTCGCTCCACTGTTTGCCACACTCACAAAAAAACAGAAAATATGGCAGTGTATCTTCCCATGTTCCAGCGGAATATTCATTCTCATTTTGCTCACTTGGTGAGAGTAATGGAGCGACGCACGAGCTCGGGGGTAGTCTCTCCAGCATGACCGTCATTCGGGGCATCCATCAAAATTGGAACAATACAAAGAAGTTTAGCTTCTTTTTGGGGGGGGAGGAAAGGCGAGGGTCCTTCGTTGCATTATAAAAACAAGAAGGATCTGAGGCTGTGGGCCCTCACAAGACAACCCAGAGAAGAGCTCTGCTGCTCCTGGGACAGTCCTAGTGTGCGTCAAAGCCCTGAARAAATCTGCACTTCCCCTTTGCTCCTCTAAGAAAAGGGAAAAAAAAAAAAAAAAAAAAAAAAAAAAGACCCTTGCACAAGGATGACATGCATAAATTGAGAAATGCTCCAAATTTAATGTGACCACAACTACGGCCATAGTTGTATGCATCTCGCCGCAATTCCACCTAGAAATAACTTCAAATAAGTAAAAAAGTTTTAGGTAGTGCGAGGGTGCCCTTAGTGAGACCATCACCCAGCTTCGGTTCAGGATTAAAATCCCAATTTAGACTCAGAATTGACTAAATCGGGGGGAACCCTTTTAGCAAGTCCGCAAGGGCCTCACCACACCACCCCCAGAATTTGACTAGAAATAAGCTAGGTTGTTTTTCCGGGCGCCTGGGCACCCAACTTGTGCCCGGATACACGCCCGGGTTCCCGGCAGGGCATGACCCCCGGGCAGGGTTCTGGGCAGCCCCAGAGCAAAAAAATAAAAAAATAAAAAAATAAAAAACAACGAAACTAAAAAAAATCCACAAAACAAATATGTTGTGTAGAATTGCAATACAAACAACTTTTGGTTGAGGGTCACATCAGAATTCCTCACCGAATCAGAGAATAAAAAAGAAAACAACAATATCACACTAAGGGACCCCCCTTTAACCCCCTTAGTCCCTTTAAAAACAATTTATGCCCCCTTTTCCCCCTTGACAGCCAACTCTAAAAAAAATGACAAGAGCCCATATTTGGGGTCTTGTGGGAGAGCGCAAAAAGGCGAAAAAAAAAAAAAAATTTGCACACCCAGGTGCCCGACCGAAAAATCTTCCTAGGAAATAAGTGAAAAAGTGTTAGGTAGTGCGAGGGTACACTTACTGGGACCATTGTCCAGCTTTCATTCAGGATTAAAATCCCAATTTAGACTCATAATTGGCTAAATGACAGGGAACCCTTTCAGCAAGTCCTCTAGGGCCTCGCCACACTTTTTTCTTTTCTTTTTTTGAAAACGGGTATAGTGTCCGAGGCTGATATTGATATTTGAGAAGATTGAGGCCGGGGTCCCCACAGTCTACCCGGAGTAACAGGGGGATGGATTCTGGAGATTCGCCGACCACTCCGAGGCGGGCGCGGCGCGGCCGGGAGCGCCGCGCCCCTGCCGGAGCGGCTCGAACGGTGCGCTGCGGAGGCGTTGGGTGACGTAGCAGGCGGCGGTGCGAGGCGCGGCGGCGAGGGGGAGTACGATCGAGCGGCCCGAGGGAAGAGGTCGAGCGGCGCGAGGGAAGAGGGTGGGGTTGTTGACGATGGCCTGTTGGGGCAGAGTTTTCGCAAAGTGGAGGGAACGTGTTCGTCGTGGCGACGAGAGAAATGGTACGGTGAGTTTGATCAGCGCGATGGTGGAAAGGGGGGTCGGGTGTGGGCTGCAGTGAGGTGTGTGTCTCCCCCGTGATAGGGCTCCATGGGCGCAGTTGGGAGGGAAGAGTACCGCAAGCATGGCGAGGGTGGGGGTGCTTTGGACGATGACATCCCTCCATCTCTCCGGACTAACCTGCAAGGGGCGGCTGGCAGGTTCAGCGGGTTGCGCTCGCAACGTGGTTTGCCACAATCCGTTTATCTTCATCGAGTGGCCTTCGAGGATGGTCGAGTGAGTGTCGACTACAAGGTGGCCAGTCTTTGCTCGCAAAGTCGATGAAGGATGAGGTGAGGTTTGGAGGGGGGAGGGGTGGATAACAAAGTGTGGGGACTTGGGGTACTCTTCTCCAGTTAGGCCTTTGTTCTCCTAAGATGTTTTCCTTAGTTTTCCTTTCAGTTGTTGTTTTGAGTCTGGTCCCTAATTCTGATTCTCATAATTTGATTTCCATCTGCTAAATCGCATTCTCCTGGATATATCACCTAAATGATGTTCCCATTTGATTTGTTGAAGCGAACCTTATCTTCGCAATTTTTTCTTAAGTCCCAGAACCTGATACAATTGCTGATTTGGTTAACAAGTTCTTGATCCGCTGTCTGAGTGAGATTTTTCTTTTTTTGGATTTCCATATTTGATCAAATCTCATCTTTAATTTCATCTTTGAAATTCGTTAGTTGATGACCTCAACTATGATCAGGATTATTCTTGATTATAGACATTCGTGAGTCCAATATGGGACGTCTTAGATGAATTTCTTGAATTTTCAATCTTAAATGTTCCCTTCCAATAAGGCTGTTGCAAACAGATTTCCTAATTGTGGTTCTAATTCCTATTTTTCAAGAGTAGTTTTCGCAGTTATCCTCTATGTGAATAAATCCATATCTGCAAATCTTATTTCTTAGTCGTGATTGCGATCGTTGTGGTTTTGCAAATTAAAAGGGGGGAGGTCGAATTAGGGGTAGGTGGGAAGTGGGGGGGTTCACTTAGAAGAGGGACCGACGGTTTAGAGAGGTAAGTCTAACCAGAAGGATGGGGTGGGACGACATTGGCCGGTGCTGGAGCATTTGCTCTATGACCAGGGGGAGCTTGAAGCCATTGAAGTTATGCCGAGGGTGGAAGGCATAACCATCTCGCCCGACGTAGCTGTTGCTGGGGCGGTGACCCTGTAACCTTTTGAGGGGCCATGCAGTTAAGAGAGGTGTCGAGGGGGGAAGGCACTCTCTGTCCGTCAGAATCAGTTAGATCGGTATTGGGGGTTGTTTGTGTTGGGGAAGGCACTCTCTGTCCGTCAGAATCAGTTAGATCGGTACTGGGGGTTGTTTGTGTTGCCTTGTAACCCTAATACGGGGGTATGAGATCTGACGAGTTCTAGTACGAGGACTGAAATCTGGATCGACGTGTCCTTCATCGGCGGTGAAGGTAAGAGTTGGATTATTAGTGGTTTCCTCCTCTTGTTTTTTCAAATGGAAAGTGAAATCGGAAACATGGTTTGGAATAATTTTTGGGTGGGCTCATGCAGGAGGGGAAGGGTGGCTCAGGGTGGTAAGTCTATTAGAAGGACGAGGTGGGGCGACAGTGGCCGGTGCTGGGGCAGTGGCTCTGTGACCATGGGAGGAGCTTGAGGCCATTGGAGCTTGTTGAGGGTGGAAGGCATAACCACCTCTTTCAACGTAGCTGAATCTGGGGCAGTGACCCTGTAACCCGGTAGGGGGTTTGGCAGCTAAGGAAGTGTCGAGGCAGGAAGACGCTTGCTGTCCGTCAGAAAACAGTCAGTTCGGTGTTGGGGCAACTTGTGTTGCCTTGTAACCCTAGCAAGGGGGGTGTGAGAACTGGTGACTTCTGGTACGAGGACTGAAAGCTTGAGTGACGGTTTCTCGCCTGTAGTGTGGGTTTGCTTTGGATTGATGGTGGTTCAACTCTGATTTTCGTTTCTCTAATTTTCCTTTTTATTTTTTTGAAAAATAGCACAAGGAGAGTGGGAGAAGATGGGGGGTTATCACGTGTCCTACCACTGAGGGGGCTAGCTGGTAGGATGGGAGTATGGTATAGCAGCAGCAGAGATGGTGGCTCCGCTGCAGTCAGTCTT